GGCGCCCGCGGGAGTCGGGAGGCCCCAGGGAGGCTCGTCCAGGGGCTGTTGGAAAGTGATCGGAAGCGCAGCGCGGCCGCGGACACCGTCTTAGAGGTGGGCTGTGTTCAGGTGGACGAGAGCGCACGGCTTGCAGCGGGAGGCAGCCCCAGTGAGGTCCCAGGCGGGCGCCACTGTCCCCGGCCGTTCCGCAGTGAGGAAGCCGCATGTGGGGACACAGAAGCGCGAGAAAAGCCGAGGTCCCGGAGCGGGCGGGCTCAGGCCGTGTGCCCTCCGGCACCCCGCAGCCCCCGCCCCGCCTGGTCTGATGCTTGTGCTGTCCAGGCCCTGGGTCAGGGGGCGCCTGGCGCGTACGGCTCCTTCACTAGCGAGAGACTGGCCTCCGGGGCGCGACGTTTCCCCCGCTCACCCCTTCCGGGTAGAATAAAGAACGCCTGGAGGTGGGAAGGTGATTTATTTATAAAGGAGACCAAGGAGCGGAGGGTGCGGAGCGCCACACGGTGCGGACTGGGCCGGGGTCTGAGCGCCGCGCGTGATCACAGCCCGCGAGGGGGCCGGGGGTGCTGAGCGGGACGCCGAGGGCTCTCCGCTCATTCTCTCCAGTCCTTTTGCAAGCGCGGACCCCAGAAGGGCGAGGGGCGCTGTAGGACGCCTGCATCTGTGGCCTCACTCGAACCGCAGCCTCGCGGTCACCGGCACACAGGCACACGCACACTCGCGTGGGCACACTGCTGGTTGCCTTGAGTTGTGTTTCTCTCTGTACGCAAGGAGAGAAGGCTTCACTTTGCCCCCAACAAGCAGCTGCCCTCCCCCAGCCCGGGTTCTTGGGCGTTTCCTCCACTTCCGAAGGCTCGGGCACATTCGGGGGCCCCTGAGGCCACACCGGGCCACGCCGGGAGGGGAGGGCAGAGGCAGCCAGAGTCCGGGGCAGGCGTGGGCCTCAGTTCTGGGCACCGGGCACCGGGCAGGGGGCCTAGAAGTTCTCGTAATGGTGAGAGAAATGAGTGCGGTCCTGCTTGTTGATGAGCTGACAGGCCTTCTCCACGTTCTTGGTCATGCCCGGGGGGCCGCAGCTGAACACGCCAATCTTGCGGACCTGTGCCGGAGGAAACGATCAGGACACCCGTGCTGTTCGGGGCAGGGCCAGCTCCCTGACGGCGCAGAGACCATCAAGAACCCCCAGCGTCCCCGAGAAGGCTTGCTCGGTGGCCGGCTCAGTTTCATGGTGATGTGGCCGAGTTTATGGTGGCGAGCAGCTCCGCCCCTGTGACAGTGCGGGGGCCTTCGGAGCTCTGTGTGACCCCCTCCCCATCCTTTGCCATCCACTGCCCCTGTACGTCCGGGGGGGCCGGATTCTCAGCAGCGGCCATTCCCTCCCCTGCAGCGCAGGTTTGGGACCCCAAGGTGAAGGCGCGGAGAGCCTGGCGGGGGCTGGACCGACCTGCGGGTGCACCTCCTGCAGGGAGTTGAAGAAGGCCTCGAACGGGGGCCGGCCGAAGTGGGTGACAGAGCGCAGGCCCGTGAACAGACTCCGGTTCAGCACCTTCTGGAAGTGCCGCTCGCAGATGTACTGGGAGGGACGCGTGAGGTCACAGCCCGGCCTCGGGGCCAACTCCCAGCCCCGCCGGCGGCCGCGCCGACCTACCAGCATGGTGGTCCTGAGGTCGAACTTCTCGGCCAGCTGCGTGATGTAGATGTGCACGGAGACCAGGTCCTGGCGGTCGTTCTCCTCCACCTCCCGGATGATGTCGGCCAGCCACTCGAACTGCCGCTGGGTCCGTGTCACCCAGATGAAGTAGACCTGGGGACGCACGGGAGCGCAGGACCAGCTCGGCTCAGGCTCCCTGTGTTCAGGGTCACCACCCAGAGGGAACTCCTGCCTCAGCCTGCTTGGGCCTCTCCCGGGGACAGCCCGGAACAGGGTGAGCACGCATGTGCCCCAGGCCAGGCTCTGAGGTGGGAGAGGGGGAATAGGCAGGGAGGGGCCCGGCCTGAGGACGTTCTACAGCTTCGGGCTGCAGGGTGCCGGGCAGGCCTGTCCTGCGCACCGTCCTGTGGGCCCCGCTCCGTGGAGGCTGCCCGTGAGGCACGGAAACGGGGCTGGCACGGGCAAGGGAGGAAGGGCACTGTCACGCTGTGAGCGCTGATGCCACGTGGGCAGGGCCTCTCACTCCTTCCCCTGACTCATCCGCTGGCCCCAGGACGAGCAGGGGCCTGCTGCGGGCCCATCTGGAGGAAGCGGCCCTAGCCAGCAGAGAGGCTGGCCTGCAGAGCCGCCTCCTGTCCTTCCAGAGCTGAGCCAGTCACTCAGCCGCACCCCAGCCATGCCCTGCTGGCTGCGGGCCCTGGGCGTCCCAGGGCTCTCAGGGCGACTCCTACATGATCCCCCAAGGGCGAGGCAAGGGGCCTGCACACGTCAGCGAGCCAGCTCCCTCCCTCAGGGCCGGGCTGCTGTGACTCCAGCCACGCCCAGTGGTCAGGCCGCCTGGCCCCTGCCCGCCCCTCGGGGCTGAGGACAGCCACAGGTGAGAGGTCCAGGCAGGCGGGGCCCAGAGCTGGCGGGCAGGGGCTGCAGGGCCAGCGGGCACTCACTTTCTTACAGAACACTTGGCAGCTGACGGATGACTTGAAGACCAGGTCTTTGAGGATGGAGGCGAACGGGGTGACCCCGATGCCCCCCCCCACCAGCACCGACACCTCAAATCTGTGCCACTCCTGGTGCCCCTCTCCAAAGGGACCGTCGAGATACAGCTGCGGGGAGGGCAAAGGTTGGGGCTCAGCTCGGCCACCCCACAGCTCTGAAGCCTGGAAGGGCCGCAGGAAAAAGCAGGGGTGGGGTGAAGGGAGACCGGAAGGGGGTGTGGCATTACAGGGGCAGCCAGGCTGGCCCGGGGGGGCTGGAGCAGCAAGTGCTCTCGGGCTACCCGGGTACCTTGGGGTATTTGGCCGAGCCGTCGCCAGTCGGGGGCGCGTAGATCTCCCGGAGGCGGATGGTCCAGGGCCCCACCGCCCGGATGTGCAGGCTGAGCGTGTCCTCGTGGGGCGCGGAGGTCAGCGTGAAGGGGTGGTACTCCGTGGTCCCCAGAGCCAGGCAGGCGATCTGCACCCACTGCCCCGACTTGTACTCGAAGCCCTGGGGCCGCTGGAAGCGCAGGTGGGTCACTCCTGGGAGGGATGGGAGGCGGGGTGTGGGCTCAGAGGCCCCCAAACCAGTCCCACCTCCCCCTCTGGAATGCGACAGCAGGGCAGGGGCACCAGGCCCGGGCTCCTGGCAAAGCGCACTTCCTACCAGGTCCCTCTGCCCGGCCGCTGGCCACCTCCGCCACCAAGCTTGTCCCCGACAGCCTCCAGGCCGGTACCTGAAGGCAGCAGCTCGGCCTTCACCACGCTGATCTCCACCTTCTTCCGGCTCAGGCTCACCAGCTTGTCCCCCGCGTAGATGAGCGCGGGGACCAGGAAGAAAAGGTGGAAACGCGGCAGCTGGATCAGAGCAAAGCTGCCGTGGATGATGAGCTGGGGATCAGAGAGCACAGTTCAGGCCCAGGGACAGGCACGCGGGGGCGGGGGTGGGGATAGCTCAGCCTCAGAACCGTCCTTCCCACTGAGCATGCGCAGGCTACCTGCCAGGACCCCCGCCCTCCCGGTTCTCAGCCCTCAGCGCTCCCCACGCTGCCCCCCAGCATTCGGTGGGAACGGGAATCCGTGGGAACGGGCCTGCTTCCCACTCCTGCCGCCACCTACACCTGCTGGCTCCCAGTTAGGGCTCCCACCCTAACTGCTCTCCCACGGTCTCGCCCCACTTCCGTTAAGTTTTTGGGGTTTTTTGGTTCTGTTTTGTTTTGTTTTTTGTCTTTTTGAGACCAGAGTCTCGCTATGTAGTTCAGCCTGGCCTTGAGCTCACTTTGTAGCCCAGGCTGGTCTCAAACTCATGACGATCCTCCTGCCTCAGCCTCCCGAGTGCTGGGATCACAGGAATGCGCCACCACACCCGGCTCCGTTAAGGTTTTATCCGAGCACGTTTGCAGAGGAGAGCTGGTGCATGCGCGTGACACATCTCAATTCTTTTTTGGTCCCCTTCTCATCTGCAAAAGATCTAGCTCCCTGCGTCCTACTATCTATCCTCTGGCCATTCACATTACTGACACTTCGGGTTTCTCCTGTAAGAGAAACCACGTGGCACTGGAGCCTGTGCGTCTCATTTATTTCACAAGTGATAAATCTGTCACACTTTCCACCCGGCTGCCCCGCACCCCGTACACAGGGTCTCACTGGGAGGGCGGGCATGCACCACCGCGCCTGCGTCCGAGAGTGTCCCAAGTGCGGCCCTGTGACTTTCTGAGGTGCAGCCTGAAGGGCCTTAGTGAGATTAGGGTCGCACTGCAAGCTCTGTTCTCTGACCTCTGCCTGCCGGCCGGGTCCCCTTCCCACCCCTTTGGCACCTGCTGCTCCCCATGCCCAGGCTGCCTCTGCCCCCTTCACAGGTCTCAGCAGAAATGCCGCCTCCTCAGGAGTCCCTCCATCCTGACTCCCCTGGGACTTCTGGGCCACGTGGGCCACGGCACCCCCACTGGGCTGGGGACATGCGCTCAGCGCCGGGTACTTTCTGCCTGGCACATAATGGCCATTTGGGAACTGGGGGGAGAGGAGTTTCCCCAGTTTGTCCCCCTCTTGAGGGGGCCACGAACACCAAAGGAAAAGCCAGGAGACAAGAGGCAGCGCTGTCCCGGCCCGACCCTTTGCCCAACGAGCTTGTCCACTGTAGCAGACACAACTTGGTCTCCTGCTCACGGCTCCTGAGCCTGGGTCCTGAGCTCGTCTGCTTCCCCTGAGCCCCTGCCGCCGGAAGCCCATAGATGCCAGCCCCCGAGGTCCCCTCCTGACCATGTCTGTCCCTGCTCCAGGCAGCCCGTAACACTAGTGACATGTCCCTGCCACGGCCACCAGCCCTGCTTCAGCCAGGCTCTGCAGCTCAGCCAGATCTCAGCCTGCTCTACAGCTCCCGCCTGGCTCCACTCCTCCCGCCACCCCCGCCCTCCCATGCCCCACCCTGTGGCGTGGCCACTGGTCACAGCACGTCCTACCGCCATCTCATCCTGTGCCACCCACGGCCAGCCTGCTCCTCCTCACCCTTCGGAACTGCAGGTGTTCCCACCCCGCCCTGGGCTCAGGCCTGTCCTGGTGCCACTCAGCCCTGTCCCCAAGCAGCTGACCTCCCCAGTCCTCCCTGAGCAGTCAGCCCGAGTGAGACGTTCCTGCCGTTCACTGTGGGGAAGCTCAGCTCAGCAGTGAGTCTACACTGTTTGTTTCGGTCATTTCCCCAAGCTCCTAAGGCAGGCCTTGAGTCCCCTGCTGGCTTCACCCAGGGCTGGCGCATGAGACCCTCAGCATATACCTGGACCACTGCAAGCTGGTCTTGGCAGGAATCCCTCCCCCAACACAGCCTTAAACCCCTGTTCGAGCTGAGAATCCTCCCAGGCCCTCCCTCACGGTGCTGCTCCCTGCCGCCCCTAGGCTCCTACCAAAGCCTCCACCCTGTGAACACAAAGGCAGGGTGACCTCACTCCTGTTTATACACCGGGCTTTCTGCTGCTGCGCTTTAGACCTCAAAGCTGCTGCAGACTGCCGGCTGGCTGGTGGCCTGGGCGGTGGAGCAGGCAGCTGTCTCTGAGCGCCAGCCCTGCCCTTCAGCCCAGGTCAGCAGGCTGGTGCCCATCCCCAGCATCTGCTCTACGCCGGGCTCCTTTCCTATCACTTCCCTTTCTGCTGCAGGTCAAGCAGCTGCACCCAGCCGGGAGGAATGGAAGGAAGAGGGGGTGTTTTGGCCTTGCCACAGGCAGGGCGCTCTGAACCCAGGAACCATCAGCAAGAGGTCCTGGTCCTTGGCCACCCACCGGGATGGTCACTGGCTGGGTCTCCCTGAACTCCAAAGAAGCTGCTTGATCACCAGCAACAGAACATGATCCCCACCCACCCGGCAAAAGCAGCGGCTCAGGGCGCCAGGGCTCCAGGGCTCCACCCAGTATTTGGCAGGACAAACGAATGAGCTTTGGTTTCCAAAGGGAGAGATTTCTTTGGAAACAGACCTCATCAGTTCTAGGAAAATCCTAAGCCACTGTGGTCGCTCCTTGGGGACCATCATTAAGTGCGAGTGCGAGCAGAGGACAGCCCTGCCCCCAGCTGTCAGAGAGGACAGGAGGCAGCCAGACCAGCCCAGGGCGCTCTGCTCTTTGTCTTGGAACAAAGGAGACCCCTGTGTGCAGCCCGGCCTGAGATGAAGAGGCGGTCAGATGGGCTCCCGTGCTGGCAGCCGCAGTCACCCGGCACCCGGTGGGGACACGGGGCCTTGGGGCTTGGGTTAGCTGCTCAGCCAGGCCTTCAGAAGGCTCTCCTGGGAACTGTCAGGATTCCAGGGAAGGCCGCCAGGAAGAGCCACAGCACAGGGACCCAGGCAGAGCCGGCTTGGGATTAACCAGGTGACACAATTGATGGCAAACTTGGGGCAGGATGAAGGGAGCAGGAGAAGGTGCAGAGAAGGAAGCAAGGCAAGGGGCCCACATTATAGAGGAAAGGGGACAGTGCAGGCTTCAAAGTGCAGTTTGCGCTGGGCACGCGCCTATAAATAATCCCAGCACTCAGGAGGCTGAGGCAGGAGGATCACCACACATTCAAGGCCAGCCTGGGCTACACAGTGGGTTCAAGACCAGCCTGAACTACATAGTGAAATCCTGTCTCAAAAAAAAAAAAGCAAGAAAGTAAGTCCAGCTTAGCAATCCTGCTGAGGTTGTTTCAGCGAATTCATCAACTTCAGAGGCGGCATGTGGCTGAATGGGGTCTGCTTGATGCAGCCCAGCATTAGAGCCAAAGCGGCAACACCCACCTAAAAACAGTGATGCTCCTTTAGGTGCAGCCCACTCGCCCAGGAGCCAGCCCCAGACGCCCGAAGGCAGAGAGATGGGAGGCGATCTGGGGCTCCAGCGGGATCAGCCTGGCCCCACCCTGGGCCGAGCTAGGGGAGCGCCAGCCTGCAGCCTCCGTCTCTCACGAGGGATGTGGAGAGGACCCTTGAAGTCCTGAGGGGTGGGGAAGAGGACTACTGCCCCAGCCCCGCGGCCTCCTGGGGGACGCCCTGCCCACCCGCGCTGGCCCGGCCTGCAGCCGGAAGCCCTCACCAGCACGTAGAGCACGACGTAGAGGTGGTGCGTCAGCCAGAAGCCCCGGAAGCTGCGGCGGCGGAAGTGGTGGGAAGCGAAGACGTACATGATGGCCAGGACCAGCAGCAGCACGACCCCGGTTAAGCCTGCGAAGTGCACAGGACAGGGCGGGGTCCGCTCTCCACTCTAGCGTCCTCTTCTGTCCTCCTCCCAATGCGCTGACCTGAAGACCGGCTCAGGTCCGCCCCTCACCTCCTGCACCCTGTCCCTGGGGCCGTTTTCCTGTGACATCTCGGAGCCAGGACCTTGCACTGCGCCACAACCCCAGCCTGCCTGCCGCCCTTTCTCTTTTCTTTCCTCACTTTTTTCTCTTTCATGTTCTTTCCTGCTTTTTAAACACTGAGACAGAGTCTCACTAAGTTGCCCGGGCTGGCCTTGAACTTGGGTCCATCTGCACAGTCTCCCGAGTAGCTGGGATCACAGGCGTGCACCACCACGCCCGTCTATCCTGACGTGCGTAAATCTTCACATGTGTAAATCCTCATGTGTGTAAATACGTGCTGAACTGGTGAACGCTCGGTGTCTCCTCTGGGTCGCACCCGGGACACCGCAGACCCTGGCCTCATGGGGCGAGGCTCGGTCCTCCACCCTGCACCATCCACGAGGTGGCCGCAGCACACGGCACGACCACTTGTCCCTCCTCACCCCCAAGGCCCCAGGGCTCTTCCTTTTATGGGGGATTCCAGGCCAGACCCGGAGTGCACAGCAGGCTAACGTGGGGGTGGGGTCACAGAAGAGGGTCCTTCCGGCGATCAAAGAGGAGAGAGGCACAAATGAGGAGGATTAGAGCCCCTCCGAGTGGAGGAGCAAAGGTTAAGAGGGGATCTCCGCAAAGCCTATAAAATCATGATGGGGAGGGCAGGGTAAACCCGGCTTTATCCCCTGAATCCCAGGATGCAGGAATTCCCGAGTAGCCTCAGAAGTTCAAAGCAGAACGTTTTAGGATTCAGAAAGAATTTAAAAGAATCCATCCTGGGTTTCCCGGAGAGGAGCAAGTACAGGAAATGCGTTACAGCAAGGAGGGAACAGGCTGGAAATATAAATAGGCTCAGGAAGAGTTTGAGCAGATTCCCAGCTAATGGCCCGAAAGTGGGGGATTACAGAGAGTTAGGAACACGCCCCCCAACAGCCCTTGCCGAGACATCCTACAGAGAGGGGGGCTCCTGTCTGGCCTCACAAACAGCCTGGTCCCCCTCACACAAGTGGGGCTTAGCGCTCCTCAAGGCTGCGGTACAGGTAGGGTGTGTAGGGTGGGTGACTTAGCCTAACTGGGGGAGGAGCTAGTCCTAAAGAGGTGAATGTCCCAGGCCAGGGGCAGGGCCCAGCTCCTCGTGGGGGCTGAGCCAGTGGGGCTCCTGGAGGCCTGGGAACTCAGGAAGGGGTCGGCTCTCACCTGGCACTGTCTGGAAAAACCACCAGTAATACTTCTGGGGGAGCTCCGACCTGTAGGAGGGGACACAGGTGGGGACCCTGAGAGGCGTGCTGTGGGCCATGCAGAGGGGGCCTCCACCAACCAACCCGTCTCCACTTCCGCTGACTTGGGGTTAAAGCTCCAGCTGCCCCAGATTTGGAAAATGACTGTCGCCCTGGGCCGAGAGGATGTGTGTCTTCCCATCTGCTAGGAACACGCGCGCACACACACACGCGCGCGCGCGCACACACACACACACACACACACACACACGCTCACCCGTCGTCGCGGAAGAGGCCAGGAAAGAGGCAGGCGAGCACGCTGAGCGGGCTGATGGAGAACAGGTACACGTTCACCACGTGGCCGGCACTGTGTAAGACTAAGGGGACCAGACGGGCGCGGTGACCCCTGGGCACCCTTGCCCGGGGCCGGACGCCCACCAAACAGAGCTGGGGGCCTAGAGAAGGAGCCCAGTGCACAGAACGTCTAAACTCCCACCAGCCTCGCGGCCCTTCCCCAAAGCAGCCGTGAGCACAGCCATGCGTGCGTGGAGTTAAAGCCCTAGTAGCACCTTCCTTTGGTTTTGCTCCCAGAGTTGTTTTAAAACACAGACACCGAGAAAGGTACGTTATTTGCACCCAGGTGTGAGCCGTTTGGCAGTGGGAGGCTGGTGAGATGCCCACAGCCAGGGCAGCAAGGGCACCGCGCTTACGAGGTGGGGCCAAAATGTCTGTGAATGTGAGTTTGAGGCCAGCCTGGGCTACAAAGTGAGTTCAAGACCAGCCTGAACTGCATAGTGAGACCCTGTCTCAAAAAGACCAAAAAAAAAAACAAAAGCCTATGAACATTGAAACGAAAAAAACATTACAGTAAAAGACACATTGCCACGCTCCACGGCCACTCAGCTGTGTACACACTTATCCCATGGTTGCCTCGCCACTTTCTGAAGCAGTTCTGAAAGTCCTCTTTCATGAGTGTCTTTACTTTGATCACTTTGAGGAGTGATCAACAATATAGTGAACGCTGCTGCCCAGTGCCACCCGCTGGAAAGGAAGCTGGTAAAACCGTGACGCTGTGTCCTCATCCACCTTATTCACCGGACCTGGTAGCACCATGTGACTTCCGGCTCTTCCCCAAAGTCAAAATAACCTCAAGAAACACTTTGCATCAAGGCAGCTACCACAGCATAACTAAAGAAGACCAGGAGAACTGCTTCAGAACTGGCAAGGACGGCGGGATAGGTGTGTTCCAAGCAAGGAGGGGTCTCTGAGGGGGACTCTGGGCAATGTGCCTTTTAGGGTTGTAAAATTTAAACGTCCACCATCTCTTCTGGTCACCTTCACCCCCACACTGTAGCGGGGAGGGGAGGGGAGGGGAAAGGAGGACGGGAGGGGGGAGGGGAGGGGAAGGGAGGGGAGGACAGGAGAGGGGCCTGGGCCGGGCCGCCCTGCCTGTGAGCACGATGGCCGTGCCCGCGATGAGGCGGTGGAAGTCCACGGCGGCGTCGAAGGGGATGTAGTGGTTGAGGAAGGTCTCCCGCAGGAAGGTGATGAGGTTGCGGCACATGGTGAGCAGGATGTAGGAGAACATGAAGGAGATGCTGGCCGCCGTGCCCCGCGACAAGATGATGCCCACACGGGTGGTGTCCGTGATGCCCTTGTGGTGTGCTGCAAAGGCGTAGTCTGCGGAGAGGGCCAGTACGGGCGGCAGAGCGCTGGTTAGCGACACACCCCCACCCCAGCCCCGCCTCAGGTTCAGGCCGGCTGCCACTACAACAGGCCACCCTGTTCTCTGATTCCAGCAGGTCCGATTCACTAGGTAGCCCTTATGCATTGCAGGCCCCGCCCTTCACCTGTCTGTCATCACAGGCCCCGCCCCAAAGGCTGTATGTCATTCCCAATAGGCCCCGCCCCCGGGGCACCAGTTACTGCAGGGTGGGGCTGTCATTTATCGAAGGCCTTGTCCTAGGCCTGTCACTCATTGCAAGCCTCTCTCCAAGGGCTGTCAGTCATTCCCTGCAGGCCCCACCCCAGGGACTGTCACTCCCACAGGCCCCGCCCAGACCATCCGTCATTCCCACAGGCCCCACCCCAGGGCTGTCACTCACCATAGGCCCTGTCCACGACTGTCATTCACTGCAGGCCCCGCCCCCAGGGTCACCTGTCACTTTCCGTAGGCCCCGCCTCCACCAGTCACTCACCGCACGCCCCGCCCCGGCTGGTGTGACCCGCGACACTCACGGTGGGTGCGCTCCAGGAACAGCGCGGCGGCGATGGCGTAGAACACGGCCACGCAGCCGATGTGGCGCCGGTAGTTCTCCACGAAGCGCTTGAACTGCTGCACCGTCTGGTGGCGACGACTGCGCTGGAACTTCTCCCGGTGCGCCTCGGTGAACAGCAGCGGCTGGAACGACGTGACCCTGGGGGACGCTAGCCTTAGCCCGGCCCGGGGATCCCGGCGGGGATCCCGACTTCAGGGGGCACAGCGGGTCAGACTCCCCGCTCCAGGGCGCCACCGCAGCCCAGGATCATTCCGTCGCACAATTGCGTGCGCGCTCAGAGCCTCTCCTGTCTGCAGCTCCGACTCCACCAGCACCCGGCCAGGCTCTCCCCGCCTCTGGGGCATCTCCTCCAGGAAGGCGTCTCTGGCCCCAGGGATGGCAAGCGCCCCCCTGAGCTCCGCAGTCCCTGCTCGCACCCCCATTCTGCCTTCATCAGCGGGGCACTCATGATCAGGTGCCAGGCTGCTCAACAGACTGAGTCCTTGGCAGGGACTGTTCATCTCCCGTTCCCCGGGGCTGATCACAGTGCCCGGCACCACCTAGCGGAAGATGCGGACGGATGGACGCATGCGCAGGGGAGGCAAGCATACTTCTTGCCGAACCGCCGCCGAGTCTCCTGGGGAGGGTCCATGTCTGTGGGGCACCGAAGTCTCTGCGGGGTCAACGCCGGCTCCAGGATGGTGCGGGGACAGCGGGCACTCACTCTGGGAGAGGGGCTAGGGAGGAGGAGAGAGAGGGGACCCGGCCCCCTCAGCCACTGGCCCTCTGCTGCCCCTGGTCCGTCCCCACACCCACTTTGTAAAGGAAAGGTCAGGGGTCTGGGGGGCAAACAACAGGCCTCCCACAGGAGCCCAGGAAGAAAGGAAGATTCTGGGGTCCCCACAGAGGCCCAAACCTACGCCTTCCCCACCACAGGGACCTCTGGCCCAGGCAGGACTGCTAGTCCCGGTACAGGGTGGTGTCTGCCTAGAGTGCCCGGTGCCCTTCTCTGGTGGGTATGGCAGTGGTATGTGGCAGAGTGTGGTGCCGATCCCAGCTGTACTCCTCATTCCCCGCGGGGGCTCACCAGATCTGCTCCTGGCTGATGTAGGAGGCTCGGCGGCAGAGGTCCTTGATGACTTCAGGCACCTCCACGCCTGCAATGCAGAGCCCAGGAGGGCCTGGCTCAGGAGGGCCTTCCGTGTGCAGACCCCACCCAGGGCTCCTGTCCCTCCCCAGGGGCAGCTGGACCCAGCCAGACAGCAGGAGGGCAGAGACTAGGGCTGTTTGCACGAGCCTCACTTTCTCTGTAGTTCAAACTCTTTTCAAGTAAAATCAGGAAGAAGCAACCCAGCATGGCAATGAGGAAAACCAAAACAAGACAACGCACAACGCCATTCAATCTCCAGGCCCCAAACCCGGTCCTATCAGGCTGGCTGCCTGAACCCTGTGGCCCGGCTCTGCCCCCGTCCACCGCACAGGCTGCCTGGGCAAAGGGCAAAGCTGCAGAATCAGGGTTCTGGGCTCCTCCGCTAACACCCTCACATCCAGGTTCAAGGCAGCCCCGGTCAGAGGCGCATCCCGGTCTTGTCTAACTTGCTCCTGTCCCTGCTGCCTTCTCCTAATTCCGGGAGGGGCTGGGTTCGGTCTCAACATGCCCCAGTGAGAATCTCAGACTGAGAGGACACTGTAACAGGGCAGAGCAGGCTGCAGAGAGGTCCTTGTTTGCTACCTGTCCCTTCCCCCACTCACACTCTGCCTGCTTGAGTTGGACGGGTGCAGTGGGAGAGACCCGCAGGGAGCCCAGGGAGACGCCTCCCGGGCAGAGGAAGCCAGCTGAGGGGACTCGGCTGGCTCAGGCAGGACCATAACAAGGAGACACTCTTCCTCCCCAGCCTGGGCACCACGCATGCAGGGCACAGGCAGGAAGCCAGGGAAGAGAACTGCAGCCCCTATCCCCTACCCACCCTGACCCACCAGCACCGTCACCATCCTGGACTCCTTTCAACGTACAAGAAAGAAACTGTACCATCGTGTTGGTGGAGGAAAGAAAGATTCCCCGGCAGGCAGCCCCACCTTTGACGCAGAGCTGCGTGAAGCGGAGCTCGCTGTCGTGGTCCCGCAGCAGGAAGTGGAAATCCTCCCAGGTCAGCTCCTCCTTGTCCTGGAAGCCCGCCTCCCGGAACATGGACTCCACCACCTCGGCCAGCTGGGCCTTGGGCAGGCAGTTGTTGGAGATCTCGATGAAGGACCTGGGGTTGGGGGATGGAGCCATCAGGCCCAGACACAGGTGCAGTGACCAGCCCACCAGGCCTTCGGGGTAAGCAGGAGGCCCTTGCTTTCCTTAACCCTTCTGCCTCTCTCGTCCCCTTGTCTCCTGGCTGTCCCAGGGGACAGACCTCAGCATCCGGATGAACTCGTCCTTGGAGATTAGGCCGTTCCCATCGAAGTCATACATGCGGAACATGAGGCGGGATTTCTCCTCAGGGGAGCCTGGGGGCAGGGAGACAAGGAGAGCTGCGGCCCAACTGCCCAACCCCCATGTGATGACCATGGGGCACTCAGCCTCCAACCCTACCTGCGCACCCCAGGCGTCAGCCACGGCTGGAGACCTGGCCCTAGCGCTCCCCACCTCCGACAGGTCAGCCAGACTCCACCTCAGTCCGCCGCCTGCTCTCTCACCCTTCATGAAGACCACCAGGATGTCCAGGAACTCCCGGAAGGACAGGTAGCCATTGCCGTCCTTGTCAGCCAGAGAGAACATGGACTCCACAAACATGTCCTGGGGCTTCAGGCCCAGGGACTCGGCAAACTCAGCCCTGCTCAGCTCGCACGTCAGGGCCTCCCGCACCTTCTGGGACGAGTCCAGGGGCAGGCTGCCCGCGTCCGCCTGGTTGATGTCCAGCACCTGCACTCGGGCAACAGCAGGGGGAGGGAGAAGAGGGTCACAGCTTCCTCAACTTCCTTGCCTACAGGGCCACTTTTTGAAACTGTGCCCCGCAGCCCCTGCATGGTCCCAGGAGCCATGGCTGTGCCACAGAGTCCTGGGCTAGGTCAAGCTGGGGATCTGGAATTGCAACCAAGGGGACCCAGATGTGCTCTGACTTGAGCACAAGACAACTTGGAAGACGTGGAACATCCTTTCCTTCCTTGCTCAGACGCACAGTACAGCCGAAACCCAGAGACCACAGCAGCAGCCCAAGAGCAGGCGCCTTGTGTTCCGACAGCCTCCCTTCTGCTGAAGTCCTGCCTCGGGGTCCCTGAGACAGGCCGGATCCTCGAGGTCAGCTGGGCCTGTTGGAGCTTCCTCCTACTTAGATCTAAAAGAGTTTTAACAAAAGCAAGGTTTCCTCTGGGCTTGGAGGAGAGGAACTGTCATCCTGGGCTGTCTCTATTCGGCCTGGGGGCCATCCCGTCCCGTAAGGGAGGCAGATAAACCACAGGCCACGGTACCTGTCTTTCCTGCCTATCGACTGCACGGCTCAGTCCAAGCCTGTCTGTGGTTCCCACCCTTGCAGCTTCAGACAAGGTGCCTTCATGGAAAGAGCCCCGGGCTGAGCGACCGGGTTCCTGTCCCAAACCTGCCACCTGCTTACTGCATGGCGGGGGCCGGTCTCCCGTTGTCTGGGACCCGTTTCCTCGCTGCTACTTATCTCACAGGGTTATTGTGACAATCAACAAAGGAGGCTGTGCAGGAAATGTTTTGAAAGCTGAGAGCAGCCCGCAGCCCTCAGGGATTGGCCGGCACCCAAGGTCCAGCAGCACATCCACACCATCCCCGCGCAGGGGCTTCCCACAGCTCCAAGGCCCCCTGAGCCACATCCTCCCTGGGCCCCGGTCCTGTGTGGCCAAAGCTTTCTCGGCCCTTTGCACACTGCACACTGAACTTGTTGGCGGGGTGGATCCGGCAGGCCAAAGGCTCCGCAAACGGTAGCTTGAATCCACAGGAACCCTCTCCCCAGCCAGCTCTCGCGGCTCCTTCTGGAGAATCCATTTCTCGCCGTCCATAGAGCAGCTCTGCTCACTCCTTGCTCCTCTCTGTTTGTTTTTTGGGTTTTTTTGGTACCAGGAATCAAACTCAGGACCTTGCGCTTGCCAGGCAGGTGCTTATGCCACCGAGCTATATACCCGGCCCTTGCTCCTTTCTGTGGAGCCCAGACTTTCCCGATCTGTCCTTCACCATGACCTTCCTCCACCCTCTCGGGCCCTTTCCCCAGCACCCGGACCAGGCCTTACTGTTATCTTCCCTTTTGTGCAGGTCCCCGTGCAGGTCCCCGCTTCTGGCGGAAGGACGAGCTGCCAGTGGGGAGCTGGCCGCATTCCACTCCACTGTTCTGCTCCCACCTCCCTTGCTTTTTGTTTTTGTTTTGCACCAAATGTGGATTTCCCTTCCCAGCGGGGGATAAGACTCCAACGGAGGTGGGGACACCTCGACCTGCCCCAGATTTTAGAACTGTGCTGTCAGCCAGGAACTCGGGGTTTCGGGCTTCCCCGGGGCCGCCATGGCCTCCTGCAGGTAAGGACACCCGGCAGGTGAGGTCACAGAGCCCGCGACCCACCTGGGAGAAGAGGTGCCTGAAGAAGGTCCCCAGGAGGAGGCTCCGCTGCTCCCGCGTCACGGCAGCCCTCAGCAGCTCCTGTTCGCGGAGCTCCCACTCCTGGAAACTCAGCCTGCTCTCCTTCAGGGCCGCCCGTAGGCTTCCCACCAGCGCCTGCCGCTCCTCCTCCGCCGTGAACTGCAGCACCTACGGGGCGCCACAGTGAGCCGCGGCCTGTGGAGGCCTCGAGGCCGGCGCACTTCGTGGGGGTCAGGGGTGGCCCTGGGGGACCCTGCAGGAGCGAGCAGAAGCAGGCTGGCTGACGGCGCAGACCCAGCCCTCAGAGGCGCTGGCGTGCAGCTGCTCCTCCCCGACTCCATTCCTGGCTGGAGAAGCGAGGGGAGGACAGAGAGGCCGAGGATGGAGCAGGAGTCGGGGGGCTCTGAGCCGGGCAGGCGCAGTCCACAGGCAGCCCCCGATGTAGCTCCTTTTTACCCCCAGACATTCACTAGGTCCTGAAATAAAGGGTAAGGAAGAGGGCGTGGCTTCTGCAAGGACCTCCAGCCAGGACCTTCGAGGCTATCCTTAGACAAGGAGGGAGCTGGCCTGGCTGCGGGAGTGAGGAGACCGGTCCTGAGCAGGACAACGGCATTCAGATTCCAGCACGTGTGACAGGCAGGGCGCAGCACCCTGCCCCCCCCCGCCAGCCCGAGTGCCTCTTTCACTGTGGTGGTGTCGCCAGGCTCCACGGGCCGTACCAGGTCGTACTCCTTGGGGATCTTGAGCAGCAGGGTGCGGCGGCCGCGGTTACTGGACAGGATGAGGTGGACCTGCTGCGGGGGCCGCAGCTGCACGGTGCGGAGCGTGGTGAGCCTGCCGTCCACCACGCGGATCTGCCCGGGCTGCAGGTGCACACGCACCGGCCGGCTGGGCTCTTTGTGGCCCTGCCACTCCAGAGCTGGGGGCGACACAACTGGGTCAGGGGCACCCTGGGCTGAGCTTAGCACCGGACCGCCCCAGCTTTGCACCCCTTCCTAGGCACCAAGAAGGGCCACCCCCTCCCCCACTGTGCCTCCAGCCCGTGAGGGAATGGGAACAACCCCGTCCTAAGTGTCACTGGGTGCTCAGCATGGTGCTTTGCCTGAGCTATTTCATTTGCTCACAAACCTACGAGGCTTACAACTATTCCTGTGTATAAATAGTAGAGAGACTTTAAAAATCTGCTATGGTCCAATCTCTACCTCATGTCCCTGGGGCTTCCCCACCTGCCTGCCTGCCGACAGCTCTAGAAAGGGAAGCCTTTTCCCCAGGCTGCTGAGGCGGATGGCCGTGGGGGCCGTCCCCATCCCTGTCCCCAGCCCCTGGGCCCCAGGTCTACCTTCCACACCCTCCACCAGCTTCTCGGACATGATACTTTGGCGTTTCTGGCTCTGGAGTCTCTTAAAATTCCTCATCCGGAGCCGGGCCACAATCCAGGCGCCGAGCAGGCTCACTGGGAGAGCGGAGGCAGGGGGACCCTTAGGGACGCGAGGGTCTGGGAGACGGCCTGGCTCCCACCCCAGCTCTTTCCCCGCCTCCTAAGTCTGTGCTCAGTTACCTCTGCTCGGGGAGATCGGAGCGGTGAGCCGCTCTGCAGTCCTCGAGGGTTTCAGTGGCATCTGCACACCCGTCTGGCCACCCCTGCGCCCCTTCCTCCTGCCCCTTCCCAGGCAGAGACCAGGCCCGGAGCCCTCAAGCCACAGGCGAGGCTCACCCTCCCAGGCTGCTGGTTGACCCCAACTCGGCCCGGTGGAAGACTAAAGTCTCAAGCTCCTGCCAGCAACTCCACGGGCCCCGGCCTGTCTGCCTCTGACAGTGCCTCCGGCCCAGCATCCTGCAGATAGCCGTGGACTGTGGACTGCCCCGCTCCGGACCAGGCTGGGCCCTCGGGGCTCCGCGGAGAACAGGGAGAGAGATCTTGGAGCTGACTTACCTGCAGCTCAGACTCTACTTATATCCCTGTCCCCTAACGTTTCCTGTCCACAGGGTCAGCACTCTTCACGGTTTGCTGTCCTAGACAGCCCTTCCCCCCCAGCCTGCACCTCTCATCTGGCCCACCCGGCCCCCCATCTTCTTACCTAGGGGGAAGCAGCACAGGGTCCCAATGGTGAGCCCGAAGCCAAAGCCACTGCCCTGGAAATAGTCCTGGACGATGAGGGGCACACAGGCTGGCAGGCCCTCGGTGCTCAGCTGTCCTGGCTGTGGACAGGGGTCCCCTGGCAGGTGCAGAAAGCCAGAGCCTGGGTGCTGGGCCACAAAGCAAGCAGGAAGGGTGGGCTGCTCCAGGTAGCAGGGGCCAAGGCTGCCTACCCTGGCCACTGTAGCAAGACTGTGGCATTTGCCTCCTGGGTAACACGAGGGGCAAGAAAAGGAGCCCCACCTTTGTCTCCCTCGCAGGCACGCATGTACGCACGTGCCCGCACACAGTGCTGCCCTCGCCCCTGCGATGGGCTGGGGTAGCCCTGCATCTGGCCCTCCTCATGCTACACCAAGCCCCCACTGCATCCCGGCCAAACGCAAGATTCCTCTCCTGGCTCCAGGAGGCTCAGGGCTGCCTCCACTCAGGCAGCTCCTGGAGCCGAGCAGACGGGACCCACACAGCACGCGCGGCAGCCCCACCCCTGCCTGGCCACAGCTCCTCAGGACAGAACCATAGCCACTGTCCGGCTATCCCCGAGGAGGGACAAGGCTCCAGACCCAGGGCCCTCCATCCACCCCTCAGCACTCACCTGCAACCCAGAAGAAGACATTGGGCTGCAGGTCACTGGCGTCCACACTGGTGACAGCCACCAGGACCTCCCTGAAGGAAGTATTCCTGATCCCTGCGATCTCTTCCTCTGAGAACAGCCTGGGGATGGGGAGAGCAGGGGCTGGGAGACAGATGCGGGTGGCCTAGCCCAGGAATGAAGAGGAACGAGACCAGGGGGGTGGGGCAGGCGCGGCATCGAGGCCCGGGCGGCCTTACCCATTCCTGGCGTTCTCAAACCAGTAGCGGTCGCCATCCCGAAGCCGCACAAACTGGTCAAGGACGATGGCGCTGAACAGGGGTCCCGGGTCCCCCTGGCTCTCCAGGAGCCCCCCTGGGAGCAGCTCCAGGCGAGAGAGGTCCTGGTGGTACAGGGCGGCGGTGGCCTCCAGCACCTGGAAGCAGGGTGGGAGGGGCGTGAATGAGAAGGCCCAGCACCCAGCCCTGGGCGAAGCAGCCGCTGGGGATCAGCTGCAGGATGCTAAGGGGAAGGGATAGGAAGAGCAGCTCTCTAGTGCAGAAAGCTTACGGTGCCCCAGGCACCCCCTGAGCGCTGCACAAAGTTAACACTCTGTGGGAACCTTCTGCTAGCTCCCGCTGCCGCAGACCACCAGCCCCCTGCGTAGTTTGTACTCAGAAACGTATGAAAGTGGAAAGGGCAAAGTCAGAACGCCAAACACAGTAGCATCATGCATTGCAAATGAGTTCCACTCTTTAGAGCTTAAAAAAAAAGTTTTCAAAAATCAAATCCTAGGGCCAGGGATACAGCTCAGTGGCACAGCGCCTGCCTAACAAGCGTGAGGTCATGAGTTCGATCCCCAGTACTACAAAATAAATAAATAAATAAAATCCTAGCCCAGCGTGGTAGCACACAGCTGTAGTCCCAGCACTCCAGGAGGCTGAGGCAAGAGGCTTGCAGCAAGTCTGAGGCCAGCCTGAGCTACATAGTGAGTTCTAGGTCAACCTGAACTACGTAGCAAGCAAGCCACTGTCTCAAGAACCACCAAAATAAATAAGTAAATAAACATGAAATCCCAGTGACACACTCACTTTTAGGGACTGTCTTCCACCGCATGGCCAGCACTTTCTGCCCATCTTTAGTTCTCTTCCCTCCCACGCCAGTGAGCAATGACCAGCTTAGCTCTAAAGCACCCCGGTGACACCCAAGACTTGCTGCTTTCTGTGATTCACCTGATTCCTATTGTACACAGATCTTAGGAGACGTGATGAGCCCCGTGCACAAAGCACTTTCCTGTCGGCCTTGCCATCCACTCTCCGGCAGTGTTAGAGTAGCAAGGGAGGCACCCTGGCACAGGGGTGGAGGCCAGAGGCAGCCTGCTGGCTGGCAGGCACTGCGGCTCGCAGGGTTTCCCTGGAGGCAGCTGGAGGGCAAGACCTCAAAGCCCAGCGTGCTCCCAAGCCAAGCACCTGCTCTGCACGCCCATGTTTAATAGGGGGCCGGCATACAATAGGTGCTCAATAAATGGTGGCTGGATCTCAGCTTGCAGAGTCAAAAGCCAAAGGCCGCTGGCCTGGTCATCTCCATCCCGACACGTGAGGCTGGGAAGAGTCCTCGCCCGAGCGCTGTCCACGGGACCTGAGTCTCACTGCCCATCTTCCGCAGACCAGGACAGCAGGCCCCCACCTCTCCCTCCCGTCCTGAGCCCTCCTCACTGTGTCCTGGCTCTGAGACAGGGTGGGGTTGATGTCCTTCCAGTGGGTGACGGGGGGCAGCCCCAGCGCAGCCCTGGCCTTGGCGTAAGAGGGCAGCCCCAGATCCCGGCCTCGCTGCAGGCAGCCGGCCAGGTGGTCCGTGCGGGAAAACTTCAGTGACCCAGGCCAGAAATCTGGGAATGAGAGGCCAGAGAGTCAGCGGGGTCCCCAGCCCAGGGCCCTGCGAGCCACAGAGGGGGCCGGGCTGTGCAGCACCAGGCTCCCAGCCCAGGGCGCCCTCCCTGCCCGGGGGCCGAGGTCCCCAGCCTGCAGGCACAGCCTGCTCCTCACCCCGCACGTCCTCCACCACCACGTGGTCCTCTCGCTCGGCGAGCTGGGAGGCCATGCCCAGCAGCAGTGCATCGAAGTCTTCAGCGCTCTGGAGGTTTGGGTTCTTCGGGTGCGGGGAGCAGAGAGACAGGGCCGGTGGAGCAGGGCCAGCAGCCAGGCTACTGCACACCCAGTCCCTCTGCTCCTCCTGGGGCCTTTCCCCAATCACAGGTGGATACTGCGCCCATCCAAGGCCCGTGCCTGGCGACAGGGCTCTCCCAGCACGAGCGTCCGCGCAACTTTCCTTCCCCCTTCGGAGCCCCGACTCCGGCTGGCTCGCGTCAGTATATGTGTTACCAACCAGCTGCGTGGCCTTGGAAAGTCACAGGACCTCTCAGAACTCTGTCTCCTCCCCTCAATAGCAAGGGTGGGAGGGTGCAGCTCCATAGGGGAGCGCTCACCTAGTGCGTCCAAGGCTGCGGTTCACACTCGGTCAGGAGGGCTGAGGCCTCGTCAGCTCCGTGACTCTGATTCTGCACCTTGCTCTTACCTCCTTGGTGCTCAACCTCCCTCTCTCCTTTCCAAACATCCACGGAGAATCTGACTTTGCTTTAAACTCACAGTCAAGGCTTTGCTCGTACGCTGGCCTGGCTTGGACAGACTCACTCTACAGCCCAGGCTGGCCTTGCACTTGCAGCGATCCTCCTGCCTCAGCCTCCCGAGGGATTTCAGGCGTGCACCATCATGACAAGCAAGGTTCACTCTTGACCACGTTCCTCGGGCTGCCTCCTTCACCCCAGCCCAGCCCAGCCGCCTGCCTCAGTCTACCACCCAGCTCCGCACCTGCCCTCGGACACTCACGCATACACCAGCCCTCCCACACACTCACACCCACGGGCCCAGCCCTGACCTCTCGGCTCCAGTAACTGTTGCATACTCGCAGAGCTCGGGAGAAACTTGAATTCCCATCCACGACCTCCCGGAAGTGGCAGCTGCCGTTCCTGAAACACAAGGAGTAGAGGAAAGGCGACCTAAGGCACCAGTCCTGGCCGCTTTGTCCACGCGGTCGTGTGGTCAGGCCACCTGGCCAGCATGTCCCAGGCCACTGGCTTTCGGAAGGTCACTCCCCACCCTCAGACCAAACATCTGCACGCACAGTCCTGGAGCCGTCCGTCTCTTTGCCCCCATCGTCACCCTCTTTACTGTTCTATTATTCAACGATGTACCACCCAAAAAAGTCTGCTCATTTTCAGTACAGAAGCAATTTCTAAACATGTATTTTCAATCTGAAATTCACTAAATCTATAGATCTGTGAATCTATGAATTCTGCTAATATGGAGCCCCCTGTCCCTTTGTATGAGACCACACTTCACTGTTTTGCCTAGGCTGGTCTCAAACTCCTAGACTCAAGTAAGTGATCCTCCTGCCTCAGCCTCCAGAATAGCTGGGACTAACATGTTCAGTAAATGATGTTATTATTATTATTATTATTATTATTATTGGAGACAAGGTCTCACTAAGTTTACCCAGGCTTACCTTGAATTCCTGACCTGAGCTATGCTCTTGCCTCAGCCTCCTGAGTAGCTGGGACTATGGTGGGAACCACTGCACCAGGCTATGTAGATACATTTTTAAAGTATTAAAAGTATAACAAATTTTTCTTTAGAAACTTATGGTCAGGGCCCGGGATATGGCTCAGTGGCACAAGCGCCTGCCTGGCAAGCACAAGGTCTTGAGTTTGATTCCCGGTATCAAAAAAAGAAACTTATGGTCTGTGGATAACTCAGTCGCCTATGATTTCTCAGTCATCATCAGACAAACCCAGAGACTGTTCTAGAGTAAGCACATCTAGCCTATAAATTGCTCTAAATTAGAATACAATTGCAAAAAAATACAATAAACCGATGCTTTAGCCATGTACATTCACTTAGATATGCGTATCTTGATTTTAAAGTTCCCTTTGTACTATTTTGGAGCCAATATTTCTCTTCGGAGTGCACACATTTTTTAAACTCTTCCCCAAAGCCTGTAAATCCCAGGCCCTGTGCTTACAGCTAAAAAATGTCCCCGAGGTTCAGGCTGGGGTCTTTATGATCTCTCTGAGTTTCAACAGTTCTGCTCTTTACTGGAGCATAAATTTACCCTCCGCAGGGTAGAATGGATGAAAAGCGTTTACAAACCACAGCCACGGCCTTTTTAGGACATACGCCCTCCCATCTGCATTCACGGTTCCTGTAGGAACGGGAGCGCTCAGACTGGCAGTCGTGGGCTGGGGGCTGCGGCCGACAGGTTTTCCTCCGCTGAGACCCTCGCCCTCCAAAACTCATACTCGAGCCCCCACACCTCATGTACACTCCGGGGGGCACCATGGTGGACAAGAACTGCTCAGAGGCCACCACGAACTCCGGGGAGACGCTGGGGTCCAGAAACGGGCGGTACCCTGCGGGCAGGGAAAGAGGCCACCGCTCTGAGCCTTCACCCCGCCCTCGCCCACCCACAACCCCCCACCCCCCGACAGCCCTCGCTTCTCCCTCCCCGGCCCTCACCTTCATACTTCGGGGGTGTCTTCCCCAGGAAGCTGGGCAGCCACTCGTACATAGCGATGCTCTGCGGGTCAGAGGGGACAGACAAGCAGGGGCTGGAGCCGGCTGGGCGAGG